GGGCGTGCAGGAGGCAGCCGATCATGACTCTCTCACCATTGATGTTTCTATCTCTCTCTCCCCCTCTCCTTTCCTCTCTCTCTAATCAATAAAGATATATTAAACACGCGTGCGCACGCGCACACACACACACTCTCTGTGATTGCTGAATGTAGATGGATAAATAGCTGCTTTAAGGTTTTTTTCTCTGCTTTAAGGTTTTTTTCTCCACTTTTCAGTCTTTGTTCTTTCTCCAGTGTATGTGTGTGTATGTGCATAAGAGAGTGAGCAAGCATGCAAGAGCAAGCACATAAAGTATGCATGCACTATTTAAAGTAAAATAGGATGTTGCAGCTCTGAAAAGCCCCCTGCTTAAAATACGTTTTGGTATTTCCACAGAGGGATAAAAAATAATACCAGTGTTTCCTGGGTGTTTATTATGTCAAGTGAACAATTAACAAGGCACAGGTGCATCGGGACAGTGTGTGTATTTCATCATAAATTTGTATTTACTGTCCCTGTCACTGTATCTACAGAAGTTTTCCTCTGTAATCAAAATTGTGTATTAATATGTGAATGAAAGCAGCAGGGCAAAATATAATAGCTGAACTTCCATGTAGATGCCTCATCTTCAAAAAAGGTATTGTATTTTTAAATCTGATTTAAATACAATACTTCAAAAGTATTGTATTTTTAAATCTGATTTAAAAAATAATAGAGGGTAGGGAGTAGATTGTTCCCTTTGGGAAGGATTCTTCCTAGGATTGTGTAATATAATTCCTTCCTACCAGCTCCCTCAATAGAAGGAGTCTGGGAGGTTGGGTCAGTCTTCCCTGGCTTCACATTCGGCTTCCTCTTCTCCCTCCCTCCCTTTACATATCCCAGTTTCTGTGCTTACCAGTTCCTTATGCTCCGTTACTTCATGTACCTCTGAGCTAATATCCATAAACCGAGGGACAATGGAGCCACCCAGGTAGTTCAAAACAAGTCTGGCAGTGGGCAGAGAGACAGTCTCTTCTGCAGTGTTTCTCCTTAGAATACTTCCCTGGCTCTCCTCTAGGATGTTTTGTATTCCTTAAAGCCCCACTCAAATCTCTTTGTCTTTACCATTTAAAAAAAAAAAAAAATCTTTATTGATTTCAGAGAGAGGAAAGGAGAGGGAGAGAGAGAGAAACATTAATGATGAGAGTCATTGATCGGCTGCCTCCTGCACGCCCCCGACTGGGGATGGAGCCCGCAACCCGGGCATGTGCCCTGACTGGGGATTGAACCTTGATCGCCTGGATTCTAGGTCAATGCTCAACTGCTGAGCCACGCCTCGCCGGGTGTCTTTACCATCTTTAGATCACCCAGTTGGATTTATTTATTTTCCCCAGCTCTATGGAGGTATAATAGACAAATAAAATTGTATATGTTTAAGGTGTACAACATGATGATTTGATTTATGTATACATTGTGAAGTGATTACCACAATCAAGTTAACATATCCGCCCAGCCGGGCGTGGCTCTGCGGTTGAGCATTGACCTAGGATCCAGGAGATCGGGGTTCGATTCCCGGTCAGGGCACATGCCAGGGTTGCGGGCTAGACAGCCGATCAATGACTCTCTCATCATTGATGTTTCTCTCTCTCGCCCCCTCCTTTTCTCTCTCTGAAATCAATAAAGATATGTTTAAAAAAAACAACATATCCATCACCTCACATAGTTACCATTGTGTGTGTGGATGAGAACACTTAAGCTCTATTCTCTCAGCAAATTTCAAGTATACAAATACAGTATTATTAACTATTGTCACCATACTGTACCTTGTATCCCCAGAACTTATTTATCTTATAACTGAAATTTTGCTCCCTTTGACCAGCCTCCCATCGCCACCCCAGGCCCTGGCAAGCACCATTCTTCTTTTTTTTTTTTTTCCTGGCAACCACTGTTCTACTCTCTTTCATGAGTACAAGCTTTCTAGATTCCACATATAAGTGATACAAAACAATATTTGTCTGGCTTATTCCACTTAGCATTATATCCTCCAGGTTCATCCATGTTGAATTATAGAATTATGTATATATTTTTCAGTTACTTATATATCACATTTTAATTACCCATTCATGCATCAGTGGACACTCAGGTTGTCCCCATAGCTTAGCTTTTGTGAATAATGCTGCACTGAACATGAGAGTGAAGATACCTCTTCCAGATACTGATTTTGTTTCCTTTCGATATATACCCATAAGTAGAGTTGCTAGATTGTATGGTAGTTCTATTTTTAATCTTTCAGGGAAACTGTTTTCCATAATGGCTGTACCATTTTACATTTCCACCAACAGTGCACAAGGGTTCCCTTTTCTCCACATCCTCACCAATACTTATCTCTCGTCTTTTTGATAACAGCCATCCTACTAGTTGTGAGGTGACATCACATTGTGGTTTTGATTTGCATTTCCTTGGTGACTAGTGGTGTTCAGCACCTTTTCATGTACCTGTTAGTTATTTGTGTGTTTTCTTTGGAAAAATGCCTATTCATGTCTTTTGCCCAATTTAATCAGATTTTTTTTTGGTTATTGAGTTGCATGAGTTCCTTACATATTTTAGATATTAACACCTTATCAGATACATGGTTTGTAAATACTTTCTCCTGTTCCTTATATTGCTTTTTTATATAGTTGATAGCTTTCTTGTCTTTTTAGTTTGATGTCTTCCCACTTGTTTATTTTTGCTTTTGTTGCCTTATTTTGCCTTTCTTGGTGTCATATAAAAAAAATTACTGTTAAGACTAATGTCAAGGGACCTTTCCTATGTTTTCTTTTAGGAGTTTGCAGTTTCAAGTCTTACATTTAAGTATTCAGTCCACCTTGAGTTAATTTTTATGAGTGGATAAGATAGAGGTCTAGTTTTATTCTTTTGCACATGGATATCCTGTTTACCCAATACCATTTATTAAAGCGACTATCCTTTCCCCATTGTGTATTCTTGGTGCCCTTGTCAAGATAAGTTGATTGTATATGCATGGGTTTTTTTGAGGGGAGCTCTCCATTCTCTTCCATTGGTCTGTGTGTCTGTTTTTATGCTAGTACCATACTGTTTTTATGACTATAGTTTTGTAATCTAGTTTGAAATCAAGAATTGTGATACTTCAGCTTTGTTGTTCTTTCTCAGGATTGCTTTGCCTAAGGCTCTTTTGTGGTTCCATATAAATTTTAAGATTATTTTTCTGTATCTGTGAAAAAATGCTATTGGAATTTTGATAGGAATTTCATTGAGTCTGTAGATTGCTTTGGGTAGTACTAATATTAATTCTTCTAATCTATGAATATGGGATATCTTTTCATTTATTTGTATCTTTTAAAATTTCTTCAATTTCTTTCTTACAGTTTTCAGTGTACAGATCTTTCGCTGCCTTAGTTAAATTTATTTCTAAGTATTTTCTTGTGTTGATACTATTGCAAATAAGATTCTTTTCTTAATTTCTTGTTCAGATATTTCATTGTTAATGTATAGAAACTCAACTGATTATTATTTTTTAAATATATCTTTCTTGATTTCAGAGAGAAAGGAAGGGAGAGGGGGAGAGAGAGATAGAAACATCAATGATGAGAGAGTTGTCATTGATTGTCTGCCTCCCACACCCCCCTGACCAGGGATCGAGCCTGCAACCCCGGCATGTGCCTTGACTGGGAATCGAACAGTGATCTTCTGGATCCTAGGTTGATGCTAGACTGCTGAGCCACGCCCAGCCCGGCTCAACTAATTTCTGTATGTTTTTTGTATCCTGCAACTTTATTTAATTTATTGATTAGTTCTAATGGTTTTTTTGGTCGATTCTTAGAGTTCTTTTAGATATAAGATTATGTCACCTGTAAATGGACAGTTTTACTTCTTCCTTTCCGATTTAGATGCTTTTATTTCTTTTTCTTGCCTAATTATTCTGGCTAGGACTTCCAGTGCTATGCTGAACAGGAATGGAGAGAGTGGGCACTTTTCTCCTGTTGCTGATATTAGAGGACAAGTTTTTAGCTTTTTGCTCTTTGTTATGTGATATTAGCTATGGGTCACCCAGTTAGATTTAACCTCTCCTTACCTCCTAAACCTTCAATTTGTCTTTTAGCTTTGATTATATTGTTTTACATTAGGATTGTTTATGTGCCTTCTCACTCCTGCTGGTCAAGGACCATATTTTTGTTACCATCATATTCCTCACCACAACTAGTCAAGTTCTTTACCCACAGAGCAGGCTCACTACATGATGATCAAATTGATTTATTGAATATAGTATATTGAAAATATGATCAATTTGCCCTGGTCGGTGTGGCTCAGTTGGTTAAGCATAGACCTATGCATGGGAGGGTCCTTGGTTTGATTCCCAGTCAGGGCACGTACCCAGGTTACCGGTTCAATCCCCAGTTGAGGTGCATGTAGGCAACTGATGTTTCTCTTTCACATCAATGTTTTTTTTTTCTTGGTGTTTTATTTTTTTAATATATCTTTATTGGTTTCAGAGAGAGGAAGGGAGAGGGAGAGAGAGAGAGATAGAAATATCAATGACGAGAGAGTCATTGGTTGAGCCTGCAACCTGGGCATGTGCCCTGACCGGGAATCGAACCCCGATCACCTGGATCCTAGGTCGACACTCAACCGCTGAGCCACGCCCGGCCGGGCAGTTTTTTTTTGTTTGTTTGTTTCTTTCTCTCTCCCTTTCCCTTCCTCTCTCTCTTAAAAAAAAAAAAAATCAATAAAAACATATTTAAAAAATAAATAAAACAAAATAAAATACAATCAATTTTATAGCATTTTCAACACATCGTTTTAGGCATACAGTCATAAAATTCACCATGAAATGTGAACATCTGTGGAATATTTTGAAGTTGCACCTTTGAAAATGTGCCATTTCCACTGTTAAGATAGAGAATAAATTATATAATGTTGTATGGTCATAAAATAAAGGACTATGAATGACAGATAATAAAATAAAGTGAGTTTAAGACCTGTATTAATCTATTATTGGTGTCCTTGTTCATTTTGTATAGTCAGTTAAGCTTTCACCAGGACAATACAATCTACTTCCTGCACCAGTTCCCAAGCACGCTTCCAGGTAATTATATACTTATTAAGCTGCTTTTAATCATTTCACTCATGCCTTTCTATATACATACTTAACAATCAATACTAATGGCTTTTAAACCTCATTTATGTCCATTATATCTAGATTAGCATTTTAAAATATTTAATGAGAGATAGGGAATAAATTAACAAAGATCCTCACATTAAAAAATCAATTTAGGAAATCATATCCTCTTTTTAATATAGGAGCTTCGTATTTCGTTCTACAGTTCAAAGATTTCCAACAGCCTGCTTCACTCCTGTAAGTATATTGTAGACACTTAACTCATGGTGAATTTGATGTTTAAACTATTCAATGATTCCTTTTGATATATCAAGATTAACATTTTACTCATTGGAATAGATAAGCAATGAATGATTATGTAATTGATTTAAAATATACCTAAAGTATATCTGAAGCTATACTGGGGATTTCAATGTAAGCTAACCATTTGTGTCAATTTATGGATGAAAAGTATAGGTTTCTTTACTTTTTTAGGTCTTGACTCATATCACCTCAGTGAGGTCTTCCCTAGTCATATGTTCAGAATTTCCTGTCCCCCTTCCTTTATTTATTTTTCTCCATAGCACTCATCACTGTCTGATGCACTCACTACATTTAGATTTTTACCTATCCTGTTTTTATCTATCTCCCCTTCTAGAATGCAAGTTTCATGAAGGTGGGGATATTTGTCTGTTTTTGTCCTGTATACCTAGCACTTAAGAAAAATGGCTGACACATAGTATTTGTTGAATTAACTAATTAATAAAATCATCAGAGATATTCAATAGATATTATATTAACAACAAAAAGAAAAAGTATCTTTAGGTTCTTTTCTTTCAAAAATATGAAAATGCCTTCCTGTTTCTAAAAATTTCCAAATATATTTACATGTATTGTGATAAAAATGAACTCTTTTAGATAAGTGACCAGCAGAATACCAAAAAATACATAAACATTTAGAAAGAATGAGAAAATGTGAAATTATTTTGGGATGATTTGAAGGATTATTGTTATTTATTTGTAAGTAGAAACTTGGGAATAGGAGGAGGAGACATACAACAAGCACCTGAAAGAGAAATTGGGATAACTGAACTGAGCTCAGAAACAGACACTAGAACATATAAGATTTATATACTTGAGAAAGATGATAGGACAAATCCACAGGGAAAGGAAGAGACATTTTGTGTTAGAAAATTGTTAAATAATTTGGAAAGATTAAGTTAGGTTTCTTTTGCTGCATATTAAAATAAATTCCATATTGATTAAAGAATTAAATACTTTTGCCCTGGCTGGATGGTTCAGTTGGAGCATCGCCCCGTACACCAAAAGGTGGTGGGTTTGATTCCCTGTCAAGGCTTATACCTAGGTTGTGGATTCAACCCCCTGTTTCTCTCTCAATCTTTCTCCCTTCCTCTCTTTCTAAAAATCAATAAAAACATATCCTCAGTGAAGAAAATAAATAAATAAATATAAAAAAGAAATAAATACTTTTGAAACCATAAATCTAGGAGAAAATATATTAGCTTATATCTAATTTTAGGATAAGGCAGAGTTTCTGACATCATAGCAATGGATGAATTACAAAGGAAAAAAGTATTAGATTTGATTACATAAGATTTCAATTTTTTATATACATTAGAAAACAAACTGTAAACAAGTTAATAGGCAAATGTAGACTAGGAGAAGTATTTTCAACAAGCAAGGTAGATAAAGGGTTAGTGGTCTTATCTAAAATTCTCTTAACCTATAGGAAAAACATCAGTAGAAAGTAAAACAAATAAAGGCCATGAATGGATAATTCATAAAACAAGAAATTCATATATCCAACAAAGGTGAAAAAGTCTTGATGTCACTAACACTTAAGTGTGAGAAACCAGGAGGCTGATTGAAACTTCCGGTACGTGGGTGGTGTGGTGGACTAAATAATGGCTCCCAAAGATGTCCAATCACCAGAATCTATGAATATTACCTTATATGGCAGGAACTTTGCAGATGGGATTATATTAAGGGTCTTGAGATGGGGGAATTATCCTGAATTATCCGGGGGGCCCTAAATGCAATCACAAGTATCCTTAGAAAAGGTAGGTAGAGGGAGATTTGAGAAAGGAGGGGAAACACGGAGGCGGAGATTGGTGTGGTGTGGCCACAAGTCAAGGAAGGCAGCGGCCACCAGAAGCTGGAAGAGGCAGGGCATGGATTCGCCCCTGGAGTCTCCAGAGAGAGCATGGCCCTACCAACACCTTGATTTTGGCCCAGTGAAACTGATTTTGGACTTCTGGTCTCAGAACTTTAAGAGAATAAAATTCTGTTCTTTGAAGCCACCAAATATATGGTAATTTGTTACAGCAGCCACAGGAAACTAATTAGGTGAGGATTGTTTCCAGGTCGATTTCACAGGAGATGGATGGGATGAGGACTTGGCCTTTCCTTTTGGTAGACCATAAATGTTTGTATCTGTAGGCCTTCTCTCTTGGACCCATTAGTTGCTTCAAAATGACTCCTTAGCCTCCTGTCTGGGGTATAAACCAGTTGCCAGTGGTCTGGGAACTAAATGGGGAAAGGGGCTGGAGGTCTCACCATTTGTAAGGCTTCGTTCACTTAATTTCTGTCTTCAGAAAAGGCCCCTGCCCTCACAGTGCCTGGGGCTACTGAGTGCAGATCTCTGGTGCAGTCTCTCCATAAAGGAAACCCTGTGTGTCCTACAGGGACATAGCATAGGCAGCTACCTGACTGCCTTGAGTGAGGTGAGTAGGGACTGGGACGAAAATGGTTAGTGTTAGGATTAGGGTTACCGTTAGGTTTAGGGCTAAGGTTAGGGTTAGGGATACCATTAGACCTAGGCTTAGGGTTACAGCTAGGATTAGGGATAGGGTTAGGGATAGGATTAGGATTAGGTTTAGAGTTAGACCTAGGGCTAGGGTTAGGATTAGGGTGAGGGTTAGGGCAACAGTTAGGGTTAGGTTTAAAGTTAGGGTTAGGGTTAGGGTTACGATTAGACCTAGGATTCGGGTTAGGTTTAGAATTAGGGTTCGGGTTAAGGTTGGGAGTAGACCTAGGATTAGGGTTAGGGTTAGAATTAGGTTTAGGTTTAATGTCAGGATTAGAATTAAAATTAGGGTTAGGGTTAGGGTGGGGATAAGGGTTACGATTAGGGTAAGGGTTAGGATTAGACCTAGGGTTAGGGTAAGGGTTAACGTTAAAATTAGATGTAGGGTTAGGGTTAGACCTAGGGCTAGGTTTAGGGTTAGGGTTATGGTTAGGCCTCAGTCTAGGAATAGAGTACGGTTAGGGTTAGCCCTAAGCTTAGGGTTAGGGTTAGGATTAGGGCTAGGGTTAGGGATAGTATTAGGTTTAGGGTTAGGGTTAGACCTAGGGTTAGGGTTAGGGATAGGATGAGGGTTATGCTTAGAGTTAGACCTAGGGTTAGGGATAGGGTTAGGGTTAGGGTTAGGGTTAGACCTATGATTAGGGTTAGGGTTGGGGTGAAGATTAGGGTTAGGGTTAGGGTTAGGGTTGGGGTTAGGGTTAGAATTAGGGTTAGGGTTAATGTTAGGATTAGACCTAGGTTTAGGGTTAGGGTTAGGATTACACCTAGGATTAGGGTTAGGGTGAAGGTAAGGTTGGGGTTATGGTTATGGTGAGGGCTGGGTTCATGTTAGAATAAGACCTAGGGTTAGGGTTAGGGTTAGGATTAGGATTACGGCTAGCGTTAGGGATAGGATGAGGCTTAGTGTTAGGGTTAAAACTAGGGTTAGGGTTAGGGTTAGTGCTACGGCTAGGGTAAGGGTTAGGTTCAGGGTTCAGGTGAGGATTAGACCTAGGGTTAGGGTTATGGTTAAGATTAGTGTTAGTATTAGTGTTAGGGTTAGGGTTATTGATACGATTAGACCTAGAGTGAGGGTTAGGGTTAGGTTTAGGGTTAGGAGTGGAGTTAAGTTTAGGGTTACGGTTAGGGTCAGGATTAGAAGAAGGGTTAGGGTTAGTATTATGGTTATTGCTAGGGACAGGGTTAGGGTTAGGGTTAGACCTATGGTTAGACTCAGGGTTAGGATTGGACTTAGAATTGGAGTAAGAATTAGTGTTAGGGTTAGGGTTAATGTTAGGATTGGTCGGAGAGTGAGAGTTAGGGTTAAGGTTAAGATTAGGGTAAGGGTTAGGGTTAGGATTAGGGTTATGTTTAAGCCTAGGGTTTGGATTACGACTAGGATTAGGGTTAAGATTAGGTTTAGGGTTATGGTTAGAAAGATGGTAAGGGTGAGGTAGAGACCTAGGGTTAGGATTAGGTTTAGAGTTAGGGTTAGGGAGATGGTTAGGGTTAGGGTTAGACCAATGGTTGGGGTTAGGATTACGATTAGGGTTTGGGAAATGGTGAGGGTTAGGATTAGATCTAAGATTAGGATTAGGTTTAGGGTTTGGGTTTGGGAGATGGTTAGGGTAAGGATTAGACCTAGGGTTAGAGTTAGGTTTAGCGTTAGTGTTAGGGAGACGGTTAGTGTTACGATTAGACCTACGGTTAGGGTTAGGTTTAGGTTTAGGGAGATGGTTATGGTTAAGATTAGACCTAGGGTTAGGGTAAGGTTTAGGGTTAGGGTTAGGGATATATGTAGGGTTAGGATTCAGCATAGGGTTAAGGTTAAGTTTACAGTTGGCGTTAGCTAGATGATTAGAGTAACGATTACACCTACAGTTAGGATTAGATTTAGGGTTACAGATAGGGAAATGAATATGGTTAGGATAACTGCTACGGTTAGGGTTAGGTTTAGGGTTACGGATAGGGAATGGTTAAGATTAGGATTAGACTGAGGGTAAAGATTAGATTTAGGGTGAGGGTTATGTTGAGGGCTAGGGTTAGGCAGTTGGTTCCCGTTACCATTAAACCAAGGGTTAGCGTTATGTTAAGTGCTAGGGTTAGGAGGATGCTTAGGGTTAAGATTAGACCTAGGGTTATGGTTATGTTGACGGCGAGATTTAGGATGATGGTTAGGGTGAGGTTTAGACCTAGGGTTAGGGTTATGTTTAGGAATAGGATTAGGCAGATGGTTAAGGATAGGATTATACCTCGGGTTAGGGTGATGTTGAGGGCTAGGGTTAGAGAGATGGTTAGGNTAAGGATAGGATTATACCTCGGGTTAGGGTGATGTTGAGGGCTAGGGTTAGAGAGATGGTTAGGGTT